AAAAAAAAAAAAAAAAAAAACTGATATATGAAACTAAATCAACACACAAGACATTGAAGAGATGAAGATTAGTCTATGGTTAAGACTTGGCTTTTTGAACCTCAACACTTGAGAAAAGGGAAGTGAAGATGTTTCATATCATTACAAAAAAATGCAATATATTTGAAGGAAAATAAATGTCAGAATAAAGAGAGAGAGAGACTATTAAAAAAAATGGGGTTTGACTTAGGCCAGAGGTTTTGAACAGAGCCAAGCCCTTAAATGCCCTTTCTTTGGCCCACGTAATACTTATAAAACAATTTGAATTACATCTGACATTTCAAAATTGGAAAATTTCACATAAAAATACTTGGCTTTTCTTGAAAACTCAGAATAGCAACGGTAGGTCCAGATTCCCACAGGCAACAAGTGCCTGGGGCCAAGCAGCACCTTCAGGTGAGACATGGGACCTCAAATGTGCTCTGGTCACCACCACTCCCTATTGCTCCTACCTGCATGCACTTCACCTGCCAGGTCCCCTGATCATTGCTGTTTTCAATTAGTGACCTTGAAGGGCTCTAAAGTCCCCAGCCAGCCCCTAGTACCTATGATACCTGAGTAGGATACTTTTGTTGCAGTTGAGGAGACGGAGGATTCAAAGGCCTCACAGGTTTCAACTCAACCTTCAGAACCTCACCTTCTAAATGCATCTCTTCCAAAGAGGTCTGGTTTTCCCTTTGGGACCTCTGCTGGGGGAAGATGGTTGGTGGTGCACTGGGCCTTCTTGCTTTTTACATCTGAGAAAATCCGGAAAGAATAGACAGAAAGGCTCCTTTCCCACTTGACTCTGTTTCTAAGCACAGCCGGTGCTTTCTAACAGACCCCTTCTCAGTCTTCACTCATTAACAAGTGGTCCTTTGTCCTCCTCTGTCTCCCACAGGATCTCTGTAATCTGAGATGGGAGTGTGTGGCATTGGAGAGCTGGGCTCACTTTGTCCCCTGCTGAGCTGAGTGGATGAAGAGAATGCAGAGTGGGCTGTGGCAGCTGAAGGAAGGCTCTGAGTTAGGCAAGAGGTCACTGTCCCTGCCTGGCCGCTGGAGCCTGGTGGCCCCAGGGAGCTAAGATGTTCAGTCACTACGTGCTCTGCCTGAGTGGCCGCCCAGTCCTGCCTCTCATGGTCCCTTCCCAGCCCTCTGCAAGATTTAAAGGAGGGATGCTTTGCCCTAGCCCCCACAGAATGCATCTTAAATACAGGTGTATGTCACTTAATAACGGGATATCTACTAAGAAATGCATTTTAGGCAATTTTGTTGTTGCATGACCACCACAGAGGCATTGACACAAACCAAATGGTACGGCTGTCTGCACATCCTGGGTCTACCACATGACCCTTTGCCCTGAGGCCATGACCCACACAGCATGTGACTGCACCAAATACCGAGGCAACCCTAACCCCATGGTTGAGATATTTGTGTATGTGAACATATCTGACCATAGAAAAGGTACAGGAAATATATGGTATGAAGGCTAAAAGAACATACCTGTACAGGGCACCCATCATGCTCAAAGCTTGCAGGTCTGGAAGTTGCTCTGGGTGAGTGAGTGAAGGTCTAGGGCATTACTGTCCACTACTGTAGACTTTACAGACACTGTGTACTTAGGCTACACTAAATTTATTCAAAAATATAGTAATTGTGCTATGACACCATGAGGGTCACAACATTACTAAGCAATAGGAACTTTTCAGCTCCATTGCAATCTTACGGAACTACTTTTGTTACTGACCAAAATGTCATGATGTGCAAAATAACCATCTCTTTGGTTCTCATTATAATGGGAATCAAAGAACTGTAGTAATTGTGTCCTCTCAGGGTTTAAGCTCTTTGCTTCAGTTGATAGGATCTTCAGAGAACAATGTTAGGCTCCCAAGTTAGTGGCAATCTGAAGTTGTACACTGGAACTGGTTTGGGGGTGAGATTTGCCCGTGGGCTGCTAGAGCCCTCCCTGGCCTTCACTGATGGGGACAGGGGAATTGGCATACCTCAGGGCCTGGGTGTGGGTACACACTCCTTAAACGCTTAGCATTAGGGGAGCCAGTCACTCTGGAACTCCTGGATTTGTGGGATTTGGAGTCAAAGAAGCCAGGCAAAGGTTCTAGCGTCTCCCAGAGATTTCCGGCCTGCCGTGTCACAGACTCTGAGAGCTCCGACAAAGAGCCTCACAGGTCAGTGTGGTGGCTCAGGCCTGTAGTCCTAGCATTCTGGGAAGCTGAGGCCGGAGGATCCCTGGAACTTGGGAGTTCAAGAGAAGCAAGAGCAAGACCCTATTTCTACTAAAAATAGAAAAATTAGCCAGGCATTGTGGTGGGTACCTATAGTCCCAGCTACTCGGGAGGCTGAGGAAGGACTGCTTGAACCCAGTAGTCTGAGGGTGCTGTGAGCTAGCTGACACCATAGCAATCTAGCCTAGGTGACAGAGGGAGACTGTCTCAAAAATCAAACTATAAAAGCAAAGAGCCCCTCAGAAGTATTTTGTTAGCTCTTGCATTTCCCAGTCAAATAACTCACAGAATTCTGTTAATGGAACACTTCCTAACTTCCTTCAGAAGTGTCACCAGCATTCTCTGGGAGACACTGGTGCTGTGGAGGAACCCTGGTTCCGAGCCTGGGTTTGGCTCCCAATACACCGGCCCCACAACTCTGAGGAGTATCTGCCCTGCCACAGATGGCAGTGACAGGCCAGTCCTGCCTGCATTGTAGGGGTAAAATGCAATGGAGCTGGGAGCTTCTGAATAGATGTCAGGTTCCCACTCACTGGCTGAGTCAGTCAGCCAGGTGGGTGCCCAGAAATCTGCATTTTACACACACAGGCCCATGCCTTCCACTTCGGAGCTACCTGGTGTCTGCATAACGCTATGTCAGTGGCCCATTATTACAACTGGAGGGAGAAGACAGTTTTCAAAAAGGTCTTCAGATGGAGCACTTTGGGGCTCTGCAGACCTTCAGGTTGCCACCTGATGTTCTGTGCACCAATTTCCCTTCATTCACTGGGAATCACATTAACATTGCGGAAAAGCACTCAGAAGAGCTAGCACAGGGCCTCAGCCAGCACGCCCAGCCCCGCCCCCACAGCGCTGGCCTCTGCCCCATGCAGCACACACTGGGACAGTGCTAACCCCGCTATTACCTTATTTACTCCTTACAAGTGCCCTATCTAGAAGCTTGTATCTTCATCTTACAGATGGGAAAATAAATTTAGCCAGAGGTTAGGCAACTCACCCAAAGTTACACTGCTATGAACAGTAAAAAAGCCTGGCTTACAGCTTTGATTCCTGATACATGCAGTCTCTAACATTCAGGCACTCAATTGATTAGTCTAAGATTTGGTATTGTTTTCTATGCCTAGATTCCTCAGATTCACACAAAATCCAGCAAAACTGTCACTTTCTGCAATGAGTTAAAGTTGTGAGCAAACAAAATAGGTGAGGATTAAGTGGAAATGTAGGCATCAACTAATTGTAGAGCAACATTTTGGGGCAATTGGGGAAATGAGATCAGGGACTGGGCACCAGATGTTCTTGTTTAACTTGGTGGCTGTGCTGAGGCACTGTGGCTCTGTCAAATATACAAGGGTAAAACATGTCTTGGATGCGTCATTAAAAAGATGAACAAAGAAAATGCAGCAAAACTTTGACATTGTTTTAGGTGGTTAATGAGTAACAGTTTTTGTACGCTTGAAAGTTTCATGATTAACAAAAAACCCTCCTCCACTTAGAAATGGAGATGGCTGAAGCTGGCTGAGAATATGCATTTCTTAGTCAACATGGTTTCTAGAGGGTGGCACCTGTGGCTCAGTCAGTAGGGCGCTGGCCCCATATACCGAGGGTGGTGGGTTCAAACCCGGCCCGGGCCAAACTGCAACAAAAAATAGCTAGGCATTGTGGCAGGCACCAATAGTCCCAGCTACTCAGGAGACTGAGGCAAGAGAATCACTTAAGCCCAAGAGTCTGAGGTTGTTGTGAGATGTGATGCCACAGCACTCTACCAAGGATGACAAAGTGAGACTGTCTCCAGCTTCAGCTCCACCCAGCTCCAGGCTCCCAACACACAGTGGATGTTTACTTACTAAGGTTCATTTTTAATAATGTTTTTATTCCATGATGACAGCCTGCACTATCTCTTCTACTACCCTGAAGTATCTGTGTCTGAGGCCCTTTCTACCCCAACTCTGAGGGGTGTGAAGTGGTGAGTGGTGGGGGGCTACTGTAGAGGGTGGCCCCTCCCTAAAGCTGAACTAGGTCTGGAGTACCCTGGACGATGCCCTTCCACCTGGCCCTTGGTTTGCCGGAAACTGGAATGGTGAAACCTGGTTCTGTCTGGGGGCATAGCCTCTCCCTGGATGCGTGGACAGCTCACAAGTCAGACAGAAATACCATCCCCAGCAGGGTGCTTGGGGACAATTCTTACTTCATTCAGTAACAGGAATAAGCCAAAACTAACATGTAATAGTAATCCAATCTTCTTACACTAACAATTCCCTAGACAGCAATAAAATAAAGGGCAAAAATCAACATGATTACGCAAAGGTTTTTTTAAACTTTAAATTAAAAAAAAGCATTTTCACACAAAGGACATTCAATTTGTCTGCTTTGAGGAAACAGCAAAGGAAGTAAAAGGTGAAAAAAAAAATCCCTAAAAACCAAATCCCAGTTAATGATAAAAATAGATGTATCCTCCATAAAAATCTGGACTAAACTACCAAGTCATTCATGGATACTCAGTATTCAGAGCATGAGGTGAAATACCAAAAGAAAAAATATTGTGATACTGCCATTGGGCTACTGGCCTTGGCCAGCCTGCTCTCACGGGCGCCCCAGCCGCCACTGTTGGAAGCTTCGGTGTGCGGGGTGCCTCCCACCCTCTGCAGACCTCCAGGCCTTCAAAGCTCTTCCTTGGTCCTGCTCAGTTTTGTAGCATGTTCTTCCACAAACTTGCTCAAATGCTCCAGATCTCTGTCTCCACCCTCAAATTTAATTGGATTCTTTTTGTCCCCACGGGGGGCAAAGTAGATGGTGGGGAAGCCCTCCACCTTGTATCGGTCACTGGTGATGTCATTGGCGGTGGCATCCATCTTGGCAATGACCAGGCCCTTCTGGCCCTTGTACTTCTTGGCCAGGCTGGTGTACACAGGCTCCAGCTGCTTGCAGTGCCCGCACCATGGTGCATAGAACTCAATGAGGACATCGTTCTTGGGGTCCATCATGATGGAGTCGAAGGTCTTCCCTACCACGACCTTGACTGGCCCTTTGTTGTTCTTTGGCACTGGCTGGGATTTGATGATGGGCTTTAGTTTTCCTGCCAAGGAAAGCAAGCAGGGGAGCCAGTGTTAGTGCTGAAAAAGCCCACACCCTGGTGGCCCTCTCTTAACCAGGCAGCCAAACAGGAGGACGGGGTAGTCAGAGGGGGAGAGTCACATGCTGCCAGGACAGGGAGGACCTTGTCTGCAATAGCCCCACCCTATCAATAGGCAGTTTATTTCTCTGGCTGTTATCTTCCTCTCTCCCCATTGCTATAAAAGCCACAGAAGGTGCTGGGAGATCCTACTCCAGGCCTAGTGGGCCATTTGGTCCTGTCCAGGGAGAGGCACTACCCAGTGACAAGGAGTTTTGAAAGCTGGGCCTGAGGGCCTGTGAACCACGGTGGGGAGAAGCCCCCAAAAGCAGGCATCAGAACAATGTGACCGGCCCAGAATTTGGCCGGCTCTGGATAGCGAGGGTGATTTCCTCAACCAAGATCCACAGAGATACTCTATTTAAAGTCTCAATTTCCAATTGTTCCAAAACTTCTAAAGTTGTCTTGGTGGTTTGGAGTTTGGGGACACCCTTGGCCCTTCCCTGGACACGATGTCAGAAAGCCCCACATGTAGCAGGCTGGCAGGGAGCTGCCGGCTGACCTGGGGGACCTGGTGGCTGTGGCCAGAGCACCACATGCCACACCGCCTGCCCAGGACAACAGCTGCTGAGGGGAGACCTCAGTCCTGGCTCACCTTTTTTGAAAGCTGTGACAAACTCGCGGAGCACATCGGAATCAAACTCTTCTGGCTCCATTGCGAACTTCTTCCCGCTCTCGTCCAGGATGGCTGCGTTGACATCCTCCCCGCTCTCACTGAGCCCCAAGTCCTTCACCTCCGTAGAGTAGTCCTCCTCGTCAGCAATGGCGAAAGTGTACTCAGGGAAGTCCTTGGCCACCTCCAGGACTTTGTTCCGCCAAAACTGAGTAGCTGAAATGGACCAAGGGCTGTGAGCCAAGTGGCTAAGCAGAGCAATAGCTCCAGCTTAGAGTCCGAGGTGAAACCTAAGATTCTGTCACTGATGTTCTGACAAGGCACAAACTCTGGATTTACCTTAATCATGAGAAAAGCATTCCTCAAAAAGCCACACTTTGTTAGCGCTGGACCACGCTGTGAGCCCAGGGGCTCCATGAGGCCTGAGCCCAGGTGGCACAGCCGGAGTGCCTGCCTGAAGTAGAGGCCGGTCTAGTCCTAGCCCTGCAGCCTCTGAGTACCTCTAAGTCTCAACTTTAAGAGGAGCTGGACTTGGCTCTAAGCTCCCTTCTTGCTAAAAAGGGAAAGAAAAAAAAGTAGTCACAAAAAACAGGAGGAAACATAACCCTGAAACGATGATTAAAAATAAAAACACACACCTGAGCCACCACCCTGCCAGGGCCCTGGGGCAAGATTTCTAAATGCGTGGGTCTGTGCCCCAGCCCAGGCACAGAGGGCCACTCACCCGCTCTGTAATCAAAGCTGAAGTCCACGCTGTAGTAGACCACCACCAGGGGGCGCTTGCTGTACCGCTTGGCATCGTTGGCGGTCTTGCGGTGGCCCACCAGGGGCAAGGCGTGATTCACCACATAGTCCTTGATGGCTGACCCCTCTGTAGAACCCTGCTTCAAAGAGGGGACAAGTGACAGTGGGCCCCAACAGGAAAGGGGCCAGCTGGCACTGTCAGTGAGTGCACCACAGACATGTGTATGGAAGTGACTCAGAAGTGGAGGTATCTAAGGGATCAGTCTCAGGAGGTGACACTCACTCAAGCACACCCCAGTAGTCCCCTGCTGCCCTTTGGGCCCCCTTCCCTCCAGTGAATACTTAAGTGGTTCCTGGGGCAAAGGGAGACCCTATGCCCTTTCCTGGGGGGTCTAGGTTCACTGAGCCCAGTGAAGGCCTGGCTCTTGGACAGCTTGGATGGCGGCAGCCGCTTACATGGGTGGAGCTGTGCAGAACTTCCCACCTTCAGCCCCCAACCTTCACAACAGCCCTGCAAGGCCCACAGGACACAGGACAAGTGAGGGGAGCCAAGTTCACATGGCTAGGAAGTGGCCGAGCAAAGCTTCGTGTTCTACCTGGAGAAACCCCATGTTACATCAACACTGCCTCAAAGGAGACTCTGGAGCCAGACCGAGCTGAGAGAAGCCAGAGGCTGTGGAGAGGCACAGTGGCACTGGTGGTCCTGGGACAGGCGCAACAGCACAGCACTTAATGGCTGGATCAGGAGGCTGTTTGTGGGATGTTATTGTCAGATGTGGCAGGTGCGGCTCAGTGCCTGTGGCTCAAGTGGCTAAGGCGCCAGCCATATACACCTAAGGTGGCAGGTTCGAATCCAGCCCGGGCCTGCCAAAACAACAACGACGGCTGCAACCAAAAAATAGCCGGGCGTTGTGGCGGGTGCCTGTGGTCCCAGCTGCTTGGGAGGCTGAGG